ACAAATTTTGATTGCCTAGATAAACCACTAGTTCATTTATTGCTGAAATGTTCAGCATAGAATAAAATATAACCCTTGGCCATCTTCTGGTGTTACGGGCTTAATTATGTGTCCCACACATTTTATCAAGAGCATCCACTCCAAACTTTGTGTCGTTATAAAAAGTAATTATTTAGGGTTTTCCTTCGTCTTCTCCGTTTCACAATCAATGGAGTCATCCATATGCATACTCGATGCAAGTAATTTTTTTTTCTTTTTTGGCATATATGACACTAAAGTGCAAGTTTCATTAAAACCAAAGAGACTTCACGCCCCTTTGTTTTTACAAAGCAAGAGGGGTGTTTATTTTTTATTTTTTTCTCAAAGTATCTACGCATAAAAGATTTTTCTCTTTCAGTTTTTTTATTAGGTCAATTGATGCGAACCAATTATCTCCTGTTATGTTTCTTAAGCTGTTGAAAACCGGTTTTGCTAATCAAAGAACGACATTTGAAGATGCATTGGTCACATTGTATGGTCCTTTTAGTTGTCTCTCGGCATATATTTTTAAATTTGATGTATTGCGTCAACCATGGGAAATATTTTTATTCCATATTTGTTGGGCTTTGTCAGTATGTACTGAAGGAATACTTTCCTCTAAAGCCTTCTAACGTTTCGTCAATAATTACATTTTGCCACATGCAATAATTTCTTCTGCAGTTTCTACATTCAAAAATCTCTCTTACCGGTGGTAGTTTGTCTAATTTCTTCCACCCATCTCTTGTCTCTTTCTCGTCGAATCTACAGCATCTAACCAAAAATTTAAAACGTTTTATAGACATTACTATTCCAAACATTTCTACTCTCATTCCTTCTGAAGACAACATTTCTTCTAAAATGTGCCTATTGCTTCATAATAGACCTGCTAAACAACCAATGAAAGCTTTAGTTTCGATTACATCTGTTTCGAGTGCGTCTCTTTCTCGAACTGAAATTACCTCTAATTGAAGAAATAAATTTATTTGTATTAGTGACAATTATGTCTAGTACTTCAACTGTAAAAATACAGTTCCCAGAATTGTATAATTCTTGCACTTTTTTTTTCAGTACCTATTACGCCAGGTAATTTAGTTATAATATTATGTGACCTTCGTTTAACATTTTTACGTCCCATTGATTTTGCCCATCTTGTTGATCCATCTTTACCGATAAAATTATTACCTTCAGAATTAAAATCATCTCCTTCAGTTTCTGAATCACTAAAATAATTTTCAGTGTTCGAAGGAAGCTCACATATTTCTAAAATATTTTATTCATCCTCAGTTTCGTCCAATTCTTCATCATTTAATTCTTCTTCTCCATCAATAAATAAAATTTTCTGCGCGATTTCTAAATCTGCTGGGTTATTCAAATCTAAATATTTTTTCGAACTCATCGTAAGGGACAACCGTTGAAGGGTGCGTGCATCTGATGAATGCACAGCTTCGAATAAACTCCAAAAGTGTACTCCTTCATCCTTCTCGATCGCAGAAAACTGCATTTCTGAATAGCACGTGACCGGAAGGGCAGATACTGTGAAGATCAGGGTCGGGAATTCCCGTTTTCGGTAGAAAAACAAAGATTGTAAAAGTCTTGCATCTGAGAGGTCACGCGTGCCCGACGAAGTGTTAAAAGTTTGTAATGTTGAAGGAAGAAGATCTTTAAAAGGGGATTCCAATTATAGGAGCAAATCCAGAATTAACCTGTCTCGAATCAATTCACGATCAGTTTTTTCTTGCTCTTGAGGGTTTAATACTACTCTAAGTTTGAAACTAGAGTTTTGATCGTAGCCGAAAGCTTATCAGCTATTTAGACAGTCGACTAGCTTCTATCTTACTGTGGCTGGTAGAAGAATGCTGAGGATTAAGTCATGCCCTCCCATGCTCGTTTTATGTAAAACAGTCAGCACATCAGACAGGTTATTCCTATATTAGACTCCCAACAATAGCACTAGTTTTCAACTGTTTCTCTTTATCCTGAATACCATTATTCCTAACACGGTGAAAACGCTCACATGAAGAGTTTTGAGGTAAAATACGATATAACTGTATGTTGCAGAGGTTTGATAGTTGGAAATCGAGAATATTCAAAGATTAAAGCTATCGAGGAGTGGCTAGAAAGAAATCTACGGCAATTTTGATTTTGCTTAGAGCTGTCAAGTTCAATGAATGTACCAACTGTCAATGCGATTTAGAATGTAGTTATTATTAGAATGACATAAATAATTTTTAGAAAATTTCATAATGTGATTTTAGTTATGTAATTTTGTTAATCAGGAGAAAATTTGACATAAAGAGCTTAACACCATTACAAACTGGCCAAACTATGGGACCACCTCGCTCAATCCATCGCCTTGGAAATTTCATGATTAGTATAACCAGCTATCCTCTCAGCAATACACGGTAGAAAATGCCGTTGGGTGTGAGGACTGACCCTTTTCATACCATTTATTTACAATACTACCTAGCGGCTCGCCGTTTGCGTTCCGACCATACATTCTATGATGAATATTGCTCGTATAGTAGTTACAGTTTATCACTCCCTAAAGTTTTACCCTCTTGTTCAGATTCACCCTGTATAGTTTAGCGTATATGTTTAAAAATATTACTCTACTTAATAAAATATTAAAATTTCCATACTTTGCTTTCCCTGTAATAACAATAACAACCACCATAATAATAATAATAATAATAATAATAATAATAATAATAATAATAATAAACCCACTTTCCTTACATTTTCAGCTTCGAGAGGCACTAAAAATGCGAATAACATGTCAATAAATGCCCTTCTTTCTTCTTGCATTCATCTTCCTGTTGCAACCATATCCTTAACCTTATAAGCGTTCTATGAAGAGTTTAATAAATCTTCATATATTAGTTTTTATAAGTTTAGATTAATTAACTTTAAAGAATACTTCAAATTTAATGACAAGTGAAGCAGAAGCTTTTAGTTTTCTTCAAAATAACAAAATATTAACGAACTGTTGAGAATATTCTAGTTGCCCCGCAATGAAATTGTACTGAAGAAAACATGTTATAAAAGTCTAAAGTGTTGGCACATCTTAAGAATAAGAGAACGAACTTGCCTTATCTCAGTTATTCTAAAGGTACAATTTACATTTCATCAGGCAGAGTGCTGTTGTGCTGCGTAGCAAACGATTATCAGCAGTAAAAATTTTCTTGGTTTCTAACAAAAATCTGATTTCAGGTACCTAAAATTCTCCAATGTCGATACGATAAAAATAATAAAATAATCTACAATAATAATATTTCGAGAAACGCAAATAAAAAATAAGTCTTTAATTAAGAAGTTATGAAATTAGTAATAAACGAAAGCAAAATATAGTTTAAACTTCAAATTCACTAGAATTTTAACAATGTTGCAACAGTGCAAAAAACAAAATGAAAGAACAATTTCATCAATATAAAGAGGCGATAAAACCGTGTAGTAGAAAAAGAAACTGCCAGTAATAACAACACCTGTAGTAATTGAATTCTTGAGTAAAGGGGGAGTTCGAAGAAAAGCTCCTAGAGCTCGAAAAATAAAACTTTCGAGAAAATTGACTCTTGTTTTATCGAACTAGTAGACTTTATACGGAAACAGTCCTGGAGAATGTTATACTTTAAAACTTCAATATATTTACATGAAGGAAAACTGAGAATGATTTTTACTACAATTTATAAATTTTAAATTTATTTTTAAGTGTTTATAAATCCGTTGTTTTGAATTTACATACTGCTAAATCTATTTCCTTCCACTCATAGAGCTTCTAAAAGAGATTAGTCGACGCAGAATAGCTGAAATCAACGATAAGTAAACTGCAACGTAGTTTATTCGTAATTATGTGAAAATAATGTATTTGACTATGTTTAAAGGGCTATTTGACTTTATACTTGACTAAACTAAAATTTTTCGAAATTATATAGTCGCCATTTTAAAATAAAGTTATTAAAGAAAGAGTGTTATTAAAATAAAATTAAAATAATTAAGTCAGAATTTAATTTAATGCAGGTAAAAACAGAACACATTAAGGAGATATGATATTCTACTCTCATGAGAAAATGAGATATTTTAAAGATAATCGCAGTAAGTGTTGTGAGAATTAGAAGAAAAGACTTGAAAAAGTAATCTAAAATGAACAATTCGTGTGTTGTGTTGTGATTTATCTCAGTTGTCTGACAGTAATATTAGAACAAACTCACGAAATTCATCGGGGCAAGAAGTGCAAGACTGCGCCTGTCGTTGGCAAGAGCTTTGCGCAACATACACGTGAAAGTGCGATTTCGCTCAGTTCCACATCCAACTTTGATGGAACGTCCCTGCCTTCTCCTGAGATTCGAACTCGAAGACATCAGTAGCGTAGTGGGCTCCCTTAACAACTATATCATCTGGGCGACAAGAACAATTTTATATACATAATCAATAGTAATTTTATTACCCATTATAGCTTGTATATTTTACATAAAGTCAACATAAATAACTCAGCTAGGAGAGCTGCAAAAACTACGCTACTTTTCTGTTATGAAACACAAAATGTAAACAAGCGCATCAATGCGAACAATTTGACACTGCAGTTCCCGCCGAACGCTCTTAGTCCTTATTTTCCTTTGGAAACAATTTTTCCCTTCGAGAATTTTGACTCATTGGAGATTTTTGACGCTAAAACGGAGATAAATTTCACATTTTCTCCCTTGTAAAACGATCAAGAACCGGCCTTAAATTCTTTCTAGGAAACGTAATTGTATAAATTGAAAGATTTAACTTAAATAAAAATAAGTTGTAATTAGATTTTAGGACTAGATGCAGCGACCAGTGAACTAAATGTTAGCATTAGAATACCATTACTATTTCAGACTACATTTGGCGACAATTGCTACGAGTTAAAGGAAAAATCCCAAAGCCACTTTTAACAGAAAGTCTCTTTTGGTAATCATGATAAACAATACAAGTAATTTAAGCATGAAAACTAAGCCACTTACAGTATAACCATCGTAAGTCCAAGATCCGAATTTCATGAAACAGGTTTGTTCATCAAATGGAAAATACTCAACATCCATCAGGCACGAACTTTTGTAGATGGCAGGAGGTTTCCAGTGAACCATACCGTCCGAATGGAGGATAGCTTTCGTCATAATAGTCACCTCGTAGTTGCCATCCGCACTGCAATATTAAAGAAAACAAATAAACAAAAATTGAAACATTAAAAAAAAATCACTAATTTCAGCCAGTTTCAAAATAAACTATTTTATTCAAGAAATAATAATAACTATTGTTAATTTTTGATATGATCTTGAAAATTATACTATTAATGTAATATTGTCTATTAATTACACGGATATTATATATTAATGCGATTTTGAATTGATTTATTTATTCGTCTTTTTAGATTATGCTGGTTAATAAACAAATACTTGTGATAAATAAATTAAACATAGTTTTTCTTTGTTGGCTTCTTTTTAAGACATTTATTGTTAGAAGCGTGTATTTCATGATTTCGACAATAAAGGGACTCCTAATTTGAGTACATGGTAGAATCATCTATTGGCAAAGTTTATTATGTAATAAATCGATGTAGAAAATAAATTCTGTAGGAAGTTTTTTATTTATTAGATAACTTTTGCCGTGGTATGTGTACGTATAACACCTGCAAAAGTGTGCAACAAAATGTCAAAGTTTGAAAAGAATTTTGTATACCTAAAAATTATCGATATGCAAAACTCTAACCCTACTTCAATTTTTCTTGAAAATTTATATATGTATTTTATTAATGATTTCCAATCTTTCATCCCTGTAAACAAAAAGTACGAAATTATGCGAAATAAAACCAGTTTTAAACATTAGTATCACAGCAGTAACTTCGTCAAAGAAAAATGGCTAGAGAATAAACACAGAACTGGATCTTCAGCATACTGCGATTTTAGGTGAGCGCAGAAGCGTTATTCACAAAAAGGTAGATTTGCCTTAGCCCTAGCAAGAGGATTCTGAATGTTCACGGTGTCATTCACATAAAAGTGCGTATTATAATTCCAAATACGATCGACGGCCACGACATACGAACATTTATCCTGCATAGAAACCATACTGTTGTAGAGACATCAGGTTAATTGAAAGAAGGACCAATGAAAAACGAGCAACGCCTTCGCCGGAAATCGAACCGGTGACCTCTGGAATACGCGCCCAGCGTGCAAAACCACTAAACCACCAAGGGACGCTAAAAAGGCGGGAGAAATATCTTGTATACTCCCCCTTTTAAAGGGAGACTGGGGTATAATGGGCCCAATCGCCAAATCCTGAGTGTGGAGAATAATCATCCACCACCCTTTTAGTTCGGGCGCGGTTCTTTAGGGAAATTGGGTCATTATTTTTTGGAAGCAAGAGAATTGAAAAATGAGCAAAGCCTTCACCGGCAATTGAACCGCGGACCTCTGGAATATGCCCCCAGCGTGTAGACCACTACACTACGAAGGCACGTTAAGAAAGGAGGAGAAATACCTTATACTGTGAGCAAGAGTTGTTGTCTCATGTTGGTGTCACACAGCTGTAGATTCTGGTTGATCTTGTTTGTTAAGGAAAACACATTATCAGTGCTTTGTTTAGTATGTTACACAACCCGTCTAATTGATAACATATCGCGCTTGTCCTACTAGTATTAACGTAATTCATCACTGATTGCTTGCACCAACGACAAATTTGCAAAACGAAGAGTGCTTGCCAATTGGAGCTTCAGAACATGAGCTGTTGAAGCTCACCACTGTTTAGTGCAATCCAAATTTTGAATCAGAAACAACCCGGACTGATCCGAAAGTTTCCTATGCGTATTTACCTCTAACATACCTCTTGAGAGTACATTCGGTTTTACAATACTTTAAATATCTAAATGACGTAGAGACTTACCCACTTAAAAAGATTTATACCTTCTTCAAGATTAGATAGAGTTGTAGTTGCCCGTTCCACATATCAACACAGCAGACTTGATAACAGCTTTTTTGATAACAGCACCTTCTTAAATAACTTAGCTATGCTCGATTTGTACTCTCTGCCAGACTGAATTCTTTATGTTTGAGAATTCTAAAACTATGCATATTAATTTGGAGACAATTTAAGGAATACTGAGATGCAGCTTAAATTCTCAGTTAGATGAAATTCAAAAACAACAGCCACAGCATTGTCAAGATTTTCTTTCGTCATGCTTGTAAAAGATATATTAATTTTTAAAATGGAATTTGTGTTTTGTTCCATTTAATTAATATGCTCCTTTTTCTACTTTAAAATATTCCCAAATAGAGATTTTTTAATGCAGCCTGCGCATCCTTTGAATGCAATGACAGTAACAATCCATTTAAGGAGCTACAGATTGCTCTGGACGATCAACTTTAATGATTAGCACCTTGCGTTTCCAATATGTGGCAACATAATGGTTAAAACTGTGTGCCAAACATTAGCCTAACAAGGAGTAGTTATTTAAATTGTTAGGTAGATTACATTAAGAAATAATAGTAAACATTTTCAGGGATCGGAGTAGTTAATTTAGTAACAGTTAAGTTTTAGGAACCGGAGTCGGAAAAGTTACTTTACCATCAATTTGGGTTTCGATACATTAAAAAAACAGAACCCAAATTATATTTCTAATACTGATCTACTTCCTAGTATTGGTACACTTCCTCGTATCACCTGCGGGGTTGGTATTTGCACGAAGTGCTAGCCGTATGAAGTTTTGATGTCAATAATGTGAACAATATCTACACCCGGTGAGCAACATTCAATTAAAATCACAGGAAACAAAAATCTGAAATGATTCAGATTTTAAATTACGTCCAAAGGGACGTTTTTCTAACATTTTGTGTGTTACATTTATCTATTAAATATCACGTTCTTCGCACTTAAACCATAAAATTCAGTTCAACAGCAATATCGCAAAATATTAGTTTTAAAATGAGCATATCTTTAGAATTTCCAATACAGAGACTCACGCGATGGAGATAAAAATGTTTCTTCTGTACAACGTTGCCATTGCTCGCTTTGAACTCCTTGAGTTTGTTAATCAAATATTCGTTTTAAAGTTTTACAAAATAAGAAATCGATAATAAAACAAATTCCAAATTTCAAATTTGGTCTTCCACATGCCCACATTCGCAGGAGGATTACATCATTCAAATTTCGATGGCTCTATGTACCGTTTTATCACAATGAGAGAAATATACATACATTTATGCAGATTTTTCATTATTTAATTTCTTTAAATATAACACAGGCCGCTAATACTTTGTGGCAACAGTTTGAAAAGTGATTCGCCGTTTGTAGTGAATCGACACAAAATCGTAAAACGAAAACAATAGTCCTTCAGGGACAAAGCCCCTTTGAACTAATAATTAAAACTTCAACCACATATTAATAATACTGCAACACATAATAATACTGCAACACAAAATACAATGACAGCGTAACGTTTAGTACAGTTTGAAACGTGTACACTACTACTAGCCATCCAATTCCATGTTATTTTGCATAGGCGGCTTTAATACCTATTTATAATACCTATTTATAATTTATACAAAATTTACAACATGACTTTTCGTAACACTAAATATATGGAAAGAAATAGCGGTAAGAAATGGAAGAATATTTAAGTAATGAATAATATTAACGTCGAGTAAAATTATTTAACTACGAATAACATACTTGGAAGTAATATTAACCAACAGAGTTAAACTTTCTGCCAGGAACAAAAATTAATACGAATATAAAGCAGAAGCACTGTAAAAACAAAACAGAATCAAAAGTAAATTCATACAAAATTAAAACAATAATCATTAAATAATAAATCATAAGAGCTGATAATTCTTTGTTTTTTGTCAAGAATCAGCTCAGTTATTAACAGGGTCACATTTCTGAATTACGTATATCAGGATAAACTGGAGGGAAAACAAAAATCTCAAGCATTCTTAAATTTAAAATAAAAATGAATTAATTGAGAATGCAATTTAACATAGCTTCATTTAATAATTTAAAAACAATTTATTTGATTATTTTATTTTGCAATTCTTCCATATATAATCAGAAAAATTAATTTGATAATTCTTTCGACCGCTCCTTGACAAAGTTCAAGGAATAATGAATCTTACCTATTTATTATTTAATCTTTATTGTTTGCATTACTATACTTTTATTTCAGTTGTTTCCAAGTGCTAGCCTCATACTGTTGTTTAATTTGTTAGATAGTTTATCATACTTAATTTTATATATTTTATCTTTTACTTATACGTATAACAGTGACTTCATATCTAAAGTATAATTTTAACTGTTATGATATTTCGCGCATTATTGCTTTTTTTAATTTCTGTTTTGCCAGCGCCCTTAAAGTGGATATTTTTTTCGAAGAGCATTTTTTTGATGGGAAGAGTTATGTAAGATAAAATTGTAACCTTAATTTAATTCGTCAAAAGCTCCTAAAAACGTTAATTTTGTTAGTTTTCCTTTTATTTTATCCATCATTTAATCCAATTAAAGCGTATGGTAAATTAATAGTAATAAAGTGATTTTAATATGTCTCTCTACTGAGAAATAAATTTTCTAATCTAACATGAATTCTATAAGCTTTATTCTTCTGACGCTTTTCTTTGTTTCGTGTACGTGTCTTGTACAATCTATTTTTTTGTCCCGCCAGATATAATAATATATGTCGAATATATGACTAAAATTGTTAAACAGCAGGTGCTTTCATTGCTTCACCATGTTATTCTACGAATTATGGATGATTAAACAAAAATGATCTATAAATGCCTGCAACTGCTCATTACAGAATGAAAAAGAATCTGCTTAATTTTTACTAATATGCAAAAAAGCATATAAGCTACGATTTTTATTATATTGTGTTGTTACTCGTGGAAGAATGTGAATTTCAGATTACTTCCTTAATTTTTTTTTTCTTTCCCAAACGGCGAGCAGTATTTTGTCTTTTTTCGACACTGGCCACTCTTAGGTGTCAGACGTGATGGCCATTTTATTCAGGAGGCACCTTTATCTCTTATGAAGGAACGGACAGTTACAACCATGCCTTCTTCGGGATTCAAACCCGGTATCGTAGTCGGCTCCCCTAACCACTATACTATATGGGCTGTTACCATATTCTTAGTATTAAATACTGAATCATTTGACTTATT